AGTGATGTAGATATGTGGGGGCGTGTTAGAACGAGGCGTTTTAGGTAGGCGTGGTTGACTCTTAACTTTTATAAAGAATATCTCTTTGGATTTGAGACTTTAGTCTTTGCAACTTTACAGATCTTCTTTATGCACCAAGAGCTTGTAACACTCCAAAGAGAAAGGAAAACTTGAAATCGCATCATATGACCCCTTTAAAATACCATATGACCTGCTCTTTAAGTATGTTTCCACACCCTAATCATTATTTTGAACATGTTTATATATATTTAGAAATGTATTTATTAATTCAGAAATATTGTATCGTTTAGGCAGGTTGTACCATATGACCTTGATATTAAAATCTAAGCTAGCCTTGCCTTGTAATAAAAGGTATCCATATGTTTCTGCATGTTGGCCACACATTGTGATTTTTATTTGGCATACAATTTTTTTTTAAATATGTATAATATTTTAACAAAACTGCTTTGCTGCTTTTAATAATAACAAAAGCTTATTCCAAACTACTTTTAAAGAATTTCATCCTCGTAATGAGTCTTTCTGTGTATTAATTTCCTCACCTCCATGTTGTTCCAAACATGCAAGACTTCTTTGGAACACAAAAGAAGATATTTTGAAGAATGTTGGGGTGCAAAAACCATTGACTTTCATTGTATGGAAAAAAGAAAGAATATCTTCTTTTGCATTTCACAGAAGAATGTGAGTTATACAGGTTTAGAACTACACGAGGGTGAGTGAATGACTTTTAATTTTTTAACTTCCCCTTTAATTCTTCACTTACATTGTAATGCATTTACTTCTTAATGTATTTTTGTATAAATTAACATGTCATTGACTCACACGCTCAGCAGTCCTCTGGATGCTGAGAAGTTTACATGAATACCTGGCCAACCACATTTATACGTCAAAGACACCTATTGGCTGTTCAAAGTCATGATGAGGTAATAAGGACAAATCAGGAGATTTTTACCTATTATTTTACCAATTATTTCTAAATAACAAAAAAAGTAAAATGTTGTAAAAAAAAAAAATTTGTATGGTAAAACCTTGCACTATTTCTGGCTTTGTGTAGCACCTACTGCTCTGTAAACTCTTCTGAAAAAAAAAAAAGCAGTTGACATGTATTTTTGTCCAATGTGTACCAAGTATATTGGATCTGACAGAAAACCTACAGCTTGTGTGTGTGCGCATCATTATAAATTGACCTCATGGAAAGAAATTAAATAATAAAAAGGATCATACAACCTCTTAATATTATTCTTTTTACACAAAGATCAGAGTCTTTTAGCACAGCTTTGTGCATGTGAGAGTGCGATTTCATCCTCTGTTATAAGGATCTGGTGATTCTGCAAAAAGTTGGTTCCATGAGATCTGTAAGCAGCAGCCTGTGGCAGAATTCCAGGCCATTCCCTGCATCAATGTGAGTTTTATCCAGAGAACATGAGCACACACAAAGACCTGCGTGTTCTCAGGGTTGCCTGCAAACCCAAGGAAATTGTGAATATGACTTCTTGGATTTAGTGACCTTTGAGAGAGGATTGGAAAATCTCATGCTGACTGCAGACTGACTGCATGACATCATAGCAGTTAAGATCACTATAATAATACTTTGTCTAATGCATCACAATAACCAAGAGAAGCACTACAAGCATCAAAGAAAAGTTCCAAACAATGAAATTTCTGTCAATTTTCTCACCCTCATGTTGTTTCAAACGCTTTGTTTCTTCTGCGGAACATGTAAGATAATATTAATAAAGTCAAATAATAAAAGTCAAGTCAGTGTGAAGGTAGCATAAAATAATAATAATACTTTTACTGAAACCTGAGAGGTTTCTGTCCCTCCTCTGAAGGTCCAGGTTACCAAACATAGAAGATCCAAAGAGGTCATAAAGACATTGTGAAATGAATCCATATGAATTCAGCCGTTGAATCAAAGTCTTGTGAAGAGATACAATTGGCTTTACTTAAAGGGGTCATATGATGCGATTTCAAGTTTGCCTTTCTCTTTGGAGTGTTACAAGCTGAATGTGCATAGATAAGATCCCTGAAGTTGCAAAGACTAAAGTCTCAAAACCAAAGAGATATTCTTTATCAAAGTTAAGACTCTGCCACACCCCCCTAAAACGGCTCGTTCTAACACGCCCCCACATGTCTACGTCA